CGTTCCCTCGGGAATGCCGTCCGGAATGTCCCCGGGAACGCCACCCCGCTCAAACCCCCGGGAACGCCACCCCGCTCAAACCCCCGGGAATGTCACCCTGCTCAAACCCCCGGGAATGTCACCCCGCTCACACCCCCGGGAATGTCACCCCGCTCACACCCCCGGGAATGTCACCCTGCTCAAACCCCCGGGAATGTCACCCTGCTCACACCCCCGGGAACGCCACCCCGCTCAAACCCCCGGGAATGTCAACCCAGAAAGGATGGGATCAACGGGATGGGATCAGTGGGATCACTGGGATCAATGGGATCAAGGGACAGGATCAGTGGGATGGGACCAATGGGATCAGTGGGATGGGATCAATGGGATCAGCAGGATGGGATCGATGGGATCAATGGGATGGGATCGATGGGATGGGATCAGTGGGATCAATGGGATCAGTGGGATCAGTGGGATGGGATCAATGGGATGGGATCAGTGGGATGGGATCAATGGGATCAATGGGATGGGATCAGTGGGATGGGATCAATGGGATCACTGGGATGGGGACAATGGGATGGGATCAGTGGGATGGGATCAATGGGATCAGTGGGATGGGATCAGTGGGATCAGTGGGATGGGATCACTGGGATGGGGACAATGGGATGGGATCAGCAGGATGGGATCAATGGGATCAGTGGGATGGGATCAATGGGATGGGATCAATGGGATCAGCAGGATGGGATCGATGGGATCAATGGGATGGGATCAGTGGGATGGGATCACTGGGATGGGGACAATGGGATGGGATGAGCGTTCTGGGACGCTTTGGGATGGGACGAGCCCCGGCAGTTTGGGATTCCCGGGAATGCCGACCTGCTCCTGCTGCAGGGCCTTGACGAAGGCGTTCTTGAGGCGATTCGTGTGCTCGGCCTTGAGCGCCTTCTTCTGGTTGGAGGTCTGGCACTGCTCGCACAGGATCCGCCCGCCCTTCTCCTGCTTCCAGTGCGGCGTGAAATCCGTGCGGCACTGCGCGCACACGAACGGCTCCACGCGCGGCACCGCCGGCGCGCTCTTCCCTGGAAAACACGCGGCAAATCCACATCCCCGCCCGGAACCGCCGCAATCCCAACCCAAATCGCAAAAAAAACCCGGCTGAAATCCCGGAAATTTGGTCTGAATTCCCAGAAATTTGTGTTTGAAATCCTGCAAATCAGCCAGAATTCCTGAAACTTGGTCTGAAATCCCGGAAACTTGGTCTGAAATCCTGGAAACTTGGTTTGAAATCCTGTAGTTTGTGTTTGAAATCCTGAGAATCGGCAAAAATCCCGGAAACTTGGTCTGAAATCCTGGAAATTTGGTCTGAAATCCTGTAATTTGTGTTTGAAATCCTGTGAATCAGCCAAAACCCTGAAAATTTGGTCCAAAATCCTGCAAACTTGGCCTTAAATTCTGGAAATTTCCTCTAAAATCCTTCAAATTTGTTCTGAAATCCTGCAAACCCATTAAAAACCCAAACCCCCCGTTTTCCCCCCAAACCCCACCAACTCCTAAACCCCTCCAGGCGCCCCCAGAGCCCGCGGTTTGCCCCGGGGGCCGCGGTTCCGGCTGGAAGTCGCCCCGTTTCCCCCGGCAGCGGGGCGGGCAGGGACCTTGGCTGTCGATGACGCTCTGCACCACCTCCTCCAGCCCCACCATGTAGATGAACTCGCTGTTGGCCGCGCTGGGCAGGAAGTGCAGGAGCGGCGCCGGCGGCTTCGGGGGCGGAATCTCCAGCAGCGTCTTCTCCAGCTGCTTCCGCAGCGCCAGCTTGGCGGCCGCCTGGGAATTGGCGGCGTCGGAGAGCGCGCTGGGGCTGGGGAGAGGGGACGACACGCGGGCCACCGAGCCCGGCTGCATGTGGGACGCGAGGTTCATGTAGATGGCGGAGGACGACGAGCGCTGGCACGGCACCGAGGAGCCGGATTGCTGCGGAGGGAATTCGGGATCG